ACAACAGGATCTATTTTTAAGAGCTTGTTTTATGTTCTCTGTCATAAAATCACTTGTTGGATTATTTTTTCTGAAAAAGAAAGATAAAAATTAAAAAAATAATGCCCATGCCCACTGCAGAGAGCATTAAAGTAGTCCACTCCAGCCACTTCAGACAGGATGTATGGAAACAATCAGCATTAGTCTCATGTAAGAACAAATAGAGGCAACTGCCTGGTGACGCAGAATGAAGAGAGAGAGGAGTGAGATTTTGCTCAAGTAGATTGAAAGAGCCAGTGGCATTGAAAGGATTATTAGGGATGATAGAATTGGTAATTTGTTTGACCTAGTAACTGCTCTAATTGGTGGCCATCCCTTTGAATATGAATATCCTGTTAAATATTTCCAGTAACTCTCCTGGAAACAAACCAAATATATTCACATCTCTGGGCAGGGGAAGACTTTTTACCACTGAGGCAGAGGGGGATCAGATGCCATCAAGTGCTTTAAAAACATGCTCTCTCTTCAACTGGCAGGAGCATCTCAAAATGATTGCTTTCTCTATATACATATACATAAATAAATGCCTAGGTTTCAATTAGTTTCTTGTTTTCCTGGCTTAAAATCTTGTATGTTGGTCAGAACATTTTGTTTTAAGCAGAAAGCTCACCTGTAAGGAACCAGCCAGTATACAGACTGTTCTATTTTTAATTATAGATAAGCTGTGATCTAAAAAATATATGTGGTAATGAGGCATCCAGGTCCTACTGATTTTCACTTTGATACAAACATACAACCCATCTAGATGCCTTCAAAGTATGTCAAAGGGCAAAATATAGTCACTCTGATACAAATTCTTTTTCAAATCTGAGTGGTCAACTTTGTCACAAACTTCAGAGTTAAAAAATCTTTTAAGAATTGACCTTTTCTGATTCCAGTCCTCATAATGTACCCCCAAGGTAATATCAGTTACATTCAGCCTAGCGTGTGTACCAGTCTTTCTCAAGTGTTCCACTTGTTAATGGGACATGTAGTGTAGACATGATACACACATCCAACAGCCAAGTTCTGCTGATGACCACATTAACTTTAAAAATGAGCTAGTAAATAGCATAAACACGACTGAGAAGGAGGTTTTTTTTTCTTTCCTGATGAACATTAGCCAAGTTTTTGGGTGTCAAAGGGATCTCATCTCCTCATCCATTCTTCTACAGCACCTCTCCCGCGAGTTATCATAGAATCATAGAATGATTACAGTCGGAAAGAACCATAAGATCATTAAGTTCCAACCCCCCTGCCATGGGCAGGGACACCTCCCACTAAACCATGTCACCCTAGGCTCTGTCATACCTGGCCTTGAACACTGCCAGGGATGGAGCATTCACAACTTCCCTAGGCAACCCATTCCAGTGCCTCACCACCCTTACAGGAAAGAACTTCTTTATATTTAACCTGAACTTCCCCTGTTTAAGTTTGAACCCGTTACCCCTTGTCCTGTCACTACAGTCCCTAATGAACAGTCCCTCTCCAGCATCCCTATAGGCCCCCTTCAGGTACTGGAAGGCTGCTATGAGGTCTCCACACAGCCTTCTTTTCTCCAGCCTGAACAGCCCCAACTTTCTCAGCCTGTCTTCATACAGGAGGTGCTCCAGTCCCCTGGACCTTGTGGTCCTCCTCTGGACTTGTTCCAACAGTTCCAAGTCCTTTTTATGTTGAGGAGACCAGAACTGCACACAATACTCCAGGTGAGGTCTCATGAGAGCAGAGTAGAGGGGCAGGATCACCTCCTTCGACCTGCTGCTCACGCTCCTTTTGATGCAGCCGAGAATACGGTTGGCTTTCTGGGCTGTGAGCGCACATTGACGCTGGCTCATGTTCTCAACAGGAATCTGGCTCCCCTGTGGGAAAACCTTTCTTTCCAAGTCTAACCAGGGAGATACCTGATGGAATGATGACTCAGCAAGTGGCAATGTGTGAAGGACGCTTTACCACCTACATTCCCAGGATCCCTTTTGCCCTTAATTCCCTTCACCTCACCCTTCCTTCCACTCTACCACCTCTGCTTTTGGCAGGTTATCTGACCATGTAGGTTACCTCAAGAACAATTTTCATGCATCATTAGAGTAGGAGAGGGACAGGTGACATGTGCAAGGTATGTGGGCAAGGTGCTGTAGCTGTCTTTCAAGTTAATCTGTAATGTTTTGATAGATCACAGCCCAGCTTCACTGACGTCGTGTTTTATCTGAGGAATAAACAGAAGCCCAAGCAGGGCAGCTGTTTCTGGTCTTTTTCTCTGCTGTTGATACTTTTGCAAGAAACATTGTATTTCACAGTCAAATGACACAGTAACTGAGAAATATATCTTTATTATTAGAATGTTTATATTCTAAAAACTTTTATCTGCGATTACAGTACAATCCAATTACTCTTTAATTAATTAACCTGGCATTTGTTCAGCAAATAACAGTGATTTAGACTTTGAAAAGTTTAAGAACATGCAACTGCTTTTACTCTCTTTTTCTCTTCCTTCCCCAAAAGGACAACTTGCAGTCAAGATTTTGGCGTGATAGATAATAAAATAAACATCTCATTTGTGAACTTGTAGTTGCACTTAACTTTGGTGACTAACAACATAGATAGGCATTTAAAAATAAAAATATTCTTTCAGTGTCAAGTGGATAAAGGAACATGAATATTTCTAAAGTTCACCTTCATTATCTTCAAAAAGGGTGATTCTTTTCAGGTTTGTAAAAGGATGGGTGAAGCAACAGAAAAGATCAAGGATGTTTCTAGTTTGTGGCTTGCCTAAGAAAGTTGTTGTAACACATGATCTGAGCCAAGCCCATGCAACACAATTAACAACTCCTTTGCACCACACACAATGCCTAGCATAAGGCCAAGTGTGGCCTTGTGACACAGTTAAATAAATATGAAAATGTCATTACAACCTAAAAACCTGAATTGGTTTTACACTGTGACTTTCTACTGAAACAATGTTGTGAAACTTTAAACATCTATCTGATTGTTCCATATACAATATTTAAAATAAAAGTGAGGAATACTACTCTCTTCACTCTGCTACTTTCTGGGAGTCCTGTACACTGACAAATGTATGACATCTGTAGTTACCTGATCCTAGCTGACTGATTGGTCATCTTCTGCTTTAAAAATATTGCAACTCAAGTGCTTATTGCAGCAGTAATCCTAGTGATACACTGTCTTCTAATACCCAGTTCTGCTTACAGTCATAGTTATAAAAAATGAAAAACATTTTTCACAAATCTTTGTACACATACTGTAAAAATCACCTTCCACATAAACAATTTACATCTGTTATGAGCATTTAAAAAATAAATTACACAGACTCGTCTCATCTATCGTTTCTTTTACTTGAGAAAACAAATCTCATCAGTGACATCAACAGGATGTTCATATCTGTAAACATGGCATGAGGTTTCATGGTACCAAAAAAATGTACACACAAAAAAAATCTTGATAAATACTCTGATAAATAAGGATCCTGTTAATTGGCACAAAGCAATGTAAACATGTGCATTCCTATCCTGCATTCATCTCTAATTTCCATGTTCTTGGGTTTCAGTTGAAATTCAGGGATCTCTTGGCCCTGTAAAATTCTTCAGAGATAAAAACGTGGAGGGTTTCAGTTATGATCATAGCAATTTTAGGCCTCTCGTGCCTAAAACCAAGCACAGGAATTGAATGTGGTACCACGCAACATAATATATTGCTTTAGCTGTTCACTTGCTGCACCACAGCTGATAACCTGCTGCTGGTGCTTGGTACTGAAACTTCTCCTCTGCCTCAGTGCAGCCCGTGCTTGTCAGGGCCACAGTACCAGTTTCTGATTTCCTCGCTAAGTGACACCAGAGGCTGGTACATATGACAAAGCCATAAAGCTTCTGGAATTTGCAAGCTATTCTTGAGACACCGGAGCAGCCCAAACCTGTACCAACAGACAACGTAGCTGCTGGCAGGACCGAGCTGGTTTATGTATGTAATAAAATATGTAAATACACCCAACTGGGCCTATGGCAGAAAATCAAGGGTAGCTATCTACCTGCTATAAACAGCCTTCAAGCAACTCAAGTAGATGCTCTGCATGTAAGTGTATCTGTGCAGGTAACAGTTAATCATTGATCTTATACCTACCTAAACTGAAAGATTGAATATTTAGGTGCCGATTAAATGGATTCTTCTGAACTTCAGCAACAGCACAGATGGAAATAAATTACCAAGCCACATGCTGCCACTGAAATAATTAAAACATACAGCCACAGTACTGCCCAGCAAGGTAACTGCAGTCATTTAAAACAAGCTATATAAATAAATAAATGAATAAATAAATAGAAAAACCTCCATGTAAACTGAATAAAATGTCCCTTCTCTTATAGCACCCAAAGAGGGAATGGCATAACTAAATAATATAAATCTTTCATACTATATATATTTCTATATATTATATCTGATATGTTTTGGCATGGCCAGATAGGAAAAAGTAGGATGACTATTAATTCATTCAGTATTTGTTCAGTTGAAGTCAAGCTCCTGTGTTACAATATATTGCTAACCATTCCTATAGTGGTTTGGCTTTTTTACCCATCTTCGATTTTGTGCTCACTTTCCTGGCAGAGCAGACTTGTTCACCTTTCTTTTGTGTTCTCCATATTTCTCTTGAGCAATCAATAGGTTCATAGAAGCACTTCACTGGCTGCAAGCTGTTTTTTTCATCTTTTGTCTTTTTCAGCAAGATTCTTCCTTTTTGAAAGGAATGAGGCTTTGCATCAGGAATGTTATATGAAGCGTGTTGACTTCCTCGGCTCCTGAAATTAATAACAATTATTAATAACTATTATTCAGTCTTGCAAAGTGGTAGGTCCCCAGAATGTTCCAAACCCATATGTTTTTTAAGACAGAAATAGCCTTGGTTTACAGAACCAGGCTGAAAGTAAAAAACAGAGTTGCAACAACTCCTACATGCGTTGCTGGTGGACTCTTTATGCATTGTCATCTACACTTTTATTCAGGTAGAGTTCTGCTGATCTTGGAGTGCTGAGACATTACTGAGGTCTATAGTCTCATAATTTGGTGATCTACGGGGATTTTAAAGATGCCCATGTTCACAGCAACCTTCTGCAAAGAATGAACATCCCATGGTCTTTGGAAGACCACCCAGCACCAGTAATAGTACAAAGTGCGGGTACTCCAGGAAATTCTTGGTGAGATCTCAGAACTTCCCTGGACTGTGGCCAAGGCCCAAGGAACGGCTGCTATTAATGGTGAATAGCTCAGGAAATGCCACACTCTACCTGTGTGCTAGGCCCCTATCTAGGGAAACTTTAGCTTTGCTTTCAGGATTTGATTTAAAACAGAAGAGGAGAGTGCAATACAGAAAATGGTGGGAAAAGGGGTATGAAAACTTACAGGGCAAAGTAAGCTGAATTCTTTGTTCCTGTGATGGTTCAAGCCCAGCAGGACTTCCTGAAATTGGTGTGCTGAGGTAGAGAGCCAGCACAGTGCCTAGTGCTGCAAAGGCTGAACCATGCCCTCTTACTCTGAAATATTGAAACTGCAGTTCCACAGTTCAGCTAAGTAAGATCATTACAGTCCCTTTTAATGTAATCTTGAAATGTTTTACTGCTGATACATGTAGTGTTACAGCAGCACGACAAATGTAAGGCACCAGCTCATGTCTGCCCAGCTACTGTGACTGAAGCAAAGTACAGATGTGCCGATGTACAAGTTGATCTCTTAAGGGTTCCCGTAGGGCTATTTTCCATAGCTCATTATTTCTGGAAACCATGTATCTGTTATACTACTTCACCTGGAAGTTAAACAATATTGATCACTTGACAGAGCCAGTTTTGGAAAAAAGCACTTTTGTTCAAGTGTGTACAGTGCAAGTGCACTCCTGCTCTTCAAAAAGACCAGAGGGGTGTCAGGAAAACATCTGTTGGTGGGAGGCAGCGAGTGCCAGTTAACAGCACAGGAGCCTTACCCATGGAACACTTTTACCTGCCTGGCAGCTTTGACAACCAGACTTCACTATGGGGAAGTCTTGGGAGGGATGTGCAGAAATGTCACACAGGTCCAAGCTGGAGTTTGCAGGCACGGTGCCATGCTGGCCTGGTGGAGGCCTGCGCTCTGATCACTTGCTAGGGGTTAGAAATTACTTGTGTAAATGCACAAGGGTTGGCCATTACGGTTTATCATCACTTGGGCACTGTTTGTTACAGTTGCTAGTAGTGTTATTAGTGTGAGTTGTTAAAAGATGTACTGTTCTGTTTTTCTCAGATGTTGTCACAGTGAAAAAGTTACATCGCAAAGCACAAGCAGGCATTATCACAGGTGTTTGCAGATGATGTTAGGCACTCCTCTGCTGTACTGAGTAATGCTATTAAAACCAGAAGAAGGTCAAGGTTAGTATGATCAGAGGGGATTGTCTAAAAGAGCTAAACTGTATTTAAATGGAACGAGTTTATGGTAGGGAAGATGGGATGTCTGTCTCTAATTCACAATCAGGGTAAGAAAGCACCTAAGGTGGATGAAGATGCAAGTAATGCACAGGAAATGCAATGCTGCCGGCTCCAGATACAAGAAATGTTTTCTTCTTGAAAGTGGCAGCTCCTCAATACAAGTGACTGAAAGTCTGAACTTCTACTCAAACATATTCATAATCTGTCACATTATGGAAAAAGACTGAAATGATGTGACTAAATGCACCCCATTGCCCCAGGCACTTAAGAACAATCCTATTCTTGCTGCATTTCACAAACATTAAGTATTTTTCAAGAAAAGCCTCATGATTCTAAGAGACCCATTTTTTAGCTTCTTCACAATGCGAGCCGGTGTTTAAAGTTGATTTAGGCACAGATGTGCCACAAGTCTCAGTGCCTTTGAGAAACAGCTAGCAAACATCAGCAAGGGACTGCCATGCCCTCAATGGGGCATTTCCTGAAAACAGCTGGGAGAGACTGCAGAAAAGGAATTGGGAAGCAAAGTGGAGGCACTGGAGCAAGAGAGACTACAAGTCCAGCCACTGATCCCAAATAACGTAAGCCATCAGTGGCCTCAAACCCCCTGAGATTACACTGATTTTTCTGGATGGGTAATAACACTTCCCAGTTTTTTTTTAACTGGTAAATATCATTAAAACCTCATCTGATGTGGTGAATGCAAATGCTGGATTCATCACCAGAACAGGGAGAGCAAAATAAAACTTCCATACCCCTCTGAGCATCCTCTCCTCTACCCTCCTTGCTTTACAGGACAAGTAGGGATATTTTTAATCTGGTAACTCCAAATAAAGGCTACTACTGAATTCTAGTTTTTAAAGCATCTTTTCAAAGGAAAAGTGTATCATTAGTTAAACAGAAACCTCTAAACAATTTCATTTATGCCTTTGAACTATCTGCCAGCAATGATTGGGTTTTACCAAATGGCATTATATTTAGACCAAAGACTTGTCAGTATCTCACCAGGTCACTAGTTATATTTTAATTCTATTTTCCTTGATTCCAATCATATTAAGACATCTAGAAGCCTGAAAAGCATATACACAGTCGACTCAAAGTCTACTTTGGCCAGTCAGGTTTTTCAGAATCTCAAAATCAGTAGGTAAAAAAAAAGCTATAAAAGCAGTAAAAAGTAGAAAAACTAAAGCTAAAACCCCATGCTGTTAATGCAAACACTGCTTATTAGCAAAAGGGTACTTGGCCAGTTGCCTGCTAGGACTAAGATATATGGGAAAAAAACCAAAACCAACCAACCAACGAGCAAAAAGCTCCCTCCCAGCAGGCTATACATTGCATTTTCAGTTTATTTTCCAGCTCATCCATCTGTTCATGTGTGTCTCAGTCTTCCAGTAATTCTTGAACCTGTTGGTCAGACACAAACAATCTGGCAGAGGGACAGAAGTCCCAGACCTGTGGTGATGCAACAAGTTAAGTTTCATGGAAATGGGAAAAGGACCCAAACTCATGTCCCTACCAAGAAAGTTGCCATCAGCACGCATTATGCTCCAAACCAGTCACTGGGACTCGTGACCAAGTCACAAAGACATGGCAAACCAGCCCTAATTAGTTCTGCTGCTCCCAAGACAGCTGTCTGAGTAACTTGAGATGTTTTTATTGCTCATACTTTGTTGGGGCACTTGTTTGCTTACATGTGACTTTTAAGACAACAGTATTACTGTCAGTTAGGAAATGACAACTGTTTCTCTCCTACCTACAGAATGATATTTTCATCTGAAACTTGGCTTGTGTTTGCTGAAAAGGTTCAACTACTCCAGCTTTGCAAGAAGCTATTACAGTCAGCAGGACAGAGTCATTCATTTAACAGATTTTTTTTTTTTCAAATAATATCTGATTTTAGTTTTGATTTAGCAGAAGTCTGGTTTTATTCTATTACATGACATAATATAGATCATATTCGGTTATAGAACCTGATTCAAACCCCACCTGACTGAGGCTTCTGGATAACATGAAATGCAAAAGCAGGAATGTAAGTATGTCAAATTAGTGTATTTAAGTAAGAGAAAAATAAAAAGATATACATACAGGCATCTGGGTTTCTTATTTAACGAAATGTCTGTAAGCTGAAAAGAAAACAGAAACAGGTTATTAATATTAATATTAAATTATTAAGTAATTAAAGCGCAGCGATAAAATAGGTGCAGTCTTCAAAATCATATTTCCATTCTCACCTGCTGTTAAAACTAGAAGAATATTCATGAAAGAAACTGAGAAAAAAACCACAAACTTGTACAGATTATTACTCCTCCATCTTATTACATCTGTTTTAAAAATTTGTAACGTATGAGTTGTTAGTGGTTGGATGTTTTTCCCCATTATTTTTATCACAACTATAATCAAAGTAAATTGCTAAAGTAGTGTGGGCTGAACAGCGATCGTTCACATGAGATTAAACAGTAAGGATACAATGAGAAGTAATTATCGTGTTCAAGAGAATTAATAAGGGACACTGCCTGAATAAGCTGTATTAAATTAACTTTCTCTCAGAATGTTTAATTTTGCAGTGATACGTTTCCTTTACACAAGCAGCTAGGAAACTCCAGCTATGAACCCTTGGCTTTGCTTACAGCAGCACTGAAGGGTGGACGGCAAGAACACAAGTGTTTCTCCCCCTTTCCACTCCTAATCCTGAGACCAGCTAAGGACAGCATAGCCTCAGTACCAGCAAAACATTGCATGACTTCATTTTTCTCAACAGTTTGATTCATAGTGTTGAAACACTTTGTCTAGTCCCTCTTTTAGTGGGGGTCACGAAAGGAGGTGTTTAATGCCAGCTCAGCTCTAATAGGTCTGGGTACTGAATCAGTTCTTTGTACTGATCTCCCATCAGTGCAACTAGACCGAGCCTTTGAATATCATTTAATGAAGTCACTGAGCCAAGCAAGTCAGATCTGGCATCTGAAAATGATTTTGTTCTTGTAAATGTTCCCTCTGTCCCTGCTATTGTCCACATTTTGCAGATGGATTTTTGTCCAGCCTAACTTTGTTGTCATCTGTCTTGGATAGCGTCTGGAGCCACCTCATAGTGTGCTTTTCTGTAATTACTTCCTGAAGGTCAGGCTGGTCAATATTTGGATGCATGACCTTAGAGGAATGCTGAAGTCACTCAGAAAGCAGGGCAGTTGCCTCAAAAATTAGTGTCTTCTCCAAAGGACACTGCTGAGACAGGAATCCCAGTAAAGATATCAAGAGCAGAGGAGATGATTTAATACTGAGGCTCATCCTTACGGTCCCCCTCAGTGTTTTCACAGACACTGTTTGAGCTGTTCTTTGCTAGATTTTAGCACACCTACATTTATTCAGGTCTTTATCTAAAGCTCTTTTGGAACTTTTCTTTCCACCACTGAATACCTAACCAGTGCTGTGCATGATCAAATGCCTTTCGTCTCACATCCTAGGATGAGCATTTAGCATAAACAGCACGGGGTATTCATTTAACTGAAATGTTCTTTGGAAGTGATGTGGCTAAAACTTGCCATATAAATGTAATGCGTTGTAGGGAAAATACTTAGCTTAAGTATTAATAATGAGGGCATTTAAAGAAATAATGTAGTTTAAAAACCAATGTTCAGACATTTTTGGTTACTAATCGGTGGGGTACAGGCTTGTAAGAATCCATTTCTAAATGCCCCATGATAGGTAATTAAAGCAAGATGATCTGCCAGCAGGTAGACATGTCCTCTGTAGGGATCCACATCTTTCCTGAAAACCTTCAGACATCTCCAAAAAACTGCCAAGTCACTCAGTGACACGAAGGAAAGTGTTTATTGCAAAGGTAACAGCAGCAAGAGCCAAAGCTGGGAGGGAAAAAAATCTGGCAAATATTTCATGATTCTCTGCTCTGACACGTTTGGCTACTGCTGCTCTTGCAGTCCCTGCTCCTTTCACTCATGTGAAGTGGAAGTATAAAACATCAGTAAAACACACCTGAAGAAACATTTCACGAATCCAGATCTGTTTTGAGTGGCAATTAACCTAAGCCACTGATTCCACATGTATTCAAACTCAAGTACTTTCCTTCTGGTAGAGGGTGACAATGAAGGGAAGGGCTTTGCTGGCTTACCACGTGCTCGCTGACATCGGTGTGGTTGCACACCACCTGCTGATTTTGGTAATATTCTAGCTGCCTTTCTGCCAGATCCACACGCTGCAACAGATTCTCGATGAAGTGCTGGAGCCTGGCCTTTCCCCGCACTTCTTTTTCTGCTGCTTCTTCCAGGAAGTGGTTGAAAGTAACAACTTCTCTGCAGGACAGAAACATTGCAATGTGGCCACATTAAAATAATGGAAAAGGCCCTTGACTCACTGCTGTCAAAAATTCACTGATGCTTCTCCATTTTTTCATGGCAATAGCTCATGGTGGCTAATTACTGTCATTCATTCACCTCTATTAAAAGATTTCAACATTACTGTAGACACAATGAGTATCTGGAAAACTGAATACAAAATGTGAGCTTATGGGCAATGGGTTTGGGATTTTTTGTCGCATTATTATGTCTCTTAGAAATAGTGCTTAGTGGTCCACAGGGTAGAAATGTCATTAAGCATCACCTCTTGAGGTACCTGGAGACAACTACAGCCACTTTCTTTTTTTTTTTTTTTAACTTACCCTTGTGAATATCAGCCTTGAAACATGAAGAGAAATGGATGAACCCCCAGATTCATCTTCCCGGTTTATCACAATCTTACAATGGTAGTTTAATGTTGCTACTGAGATGGTTCCTAACTTAAAGGAGCTACTGTGGCCATTAAACTTATTTTTGGCTGCAATCCTGCAAGTACATCAAAGTGCAGTGTTATGATCTGGAGCTAGTGGGAACACGGGAGATTAACAGATAATCTACAGATTACAGACCAAGGAGTATGTGCATGGGAAGAATGAGTTTTAGGTCAGAAGTTTAGAAATATTCCTTATCTGGTAAAAACTGGAGGAAACAGATTGCACCACTGACTATGAAAGGTCCCAGCTCTGTACTGAGACACAGCTCATTGTGAAGTGCTCTGCATACTGTCAGTTTTCTATCTGTAATCAGGCCACCATTTGGCCCTCTGATATCAGAGGAGTTTCTAGGTAGGAGAAGTTTGGTTACAGAGTGAAGCATGTATTATGAAAATTGGCAAATCTGAGATTGTAGGCTTCCCAGTTAATGAATGCCTGGATAAACAGTTCCTGCTCTGCCAATGGAACCATGTCAATTTTTGCTTTGTACAAAACTGAGGGGGTGGGACTTGGGGGAACCAATGCCTGCCAAACAGGAAGGGCATGACTGCTTTGCAGAAATAGCTATACCACAGCACAGTGCAGGAAGAGGCTGTCTGCATGGCTGATCTAATGGTAGGTAATGAGGTAAAGCAAGCATGTATTGTTTGGATGAAGTGCATCGATGAATCTTATATTAACTCACCCACAAAATCTGTCTTAAGAAACAGACAAGTACATTGTTGTTAAGCTTAGCTAATCAATTCCATTTCAAGGCTCTGTACAGTTTCTATGATTATTAGCTTGCCAGTCACTGAGGAATGCTTAGGAAGAAGCCAATCTAAACTCATTAAGGTCAATTTTAGGGCTTTATTCTCACCACACTTAAATCATTGTAACTTCTTTGATTTCATGATACCACTATAGGTTTGTGTTAGCGCAGGAGCAACCTGAAGCCTCTGGCACTCTGTCAGGCTCCTCTTTTACAGCTGACAGGAAGCTCCAAAGGACAGAAATTCGGCAGGTTGGCTCCAAATCCCCTACCCCTTGGGTAAGGAAGGAGAATTGCATGTGGCCCTCCAGGCTGCTGGCTCTCCATGTGAGAAGGCTGGGCAAAGCCCAAAACCCAAAACCCAAAACAAGGGTATCCCTCCGGGGGCCACAGTCAGCTTGTGTGTTGTGCTACAGCGTGAGGCCGCATACATTGAGTACCTGGCATTTGTTTTTTAAAGCATGATGGCTTCAGGAATGCTAACATTTGCAATTATCTCAGCAAAGGTAATTAAAAAGCATTCATTAATTGCCTGCTCCACAGCATGAATCACAGATTTTCCTTTCCTTCAAGGATCTCCTTAGTCAGCTGTGCCATAAGGAGGACAGGGGGAAGCAGAGGGTTGTTTTTTTTAAGATTTAGCTGACTATCAGGAGGAGAACAGACACTAATGTCAATAAATTCCCTAGTATTTTCCTTGCTTTCTAGACTACTCAAGATAACTTGGCATCCTACGTGTCATTATTTGTAGGAACTGTTTTTAGCAGCAATAGCATCATTTTCATATTTTTTCTCTGTTTAGCTGCTCTGTACAGCCTATAAAACACTTTTAATAACTTCCATCTAAAAATTTTCCTTTGGACTGGAATGGTAACCTGCATGCTGTAAATTCCCTTCAGAAAGACAGAAGCCAAAATATACCCACCCACTAGGTCTCAGTCGCATGCTTTGTCCTGATAGGCAGCACTTCTGTCAGTTCAGCTACTTCCTTTGTTTCCACTTCATTCTCATCTCTCAGAACATCAAGCCCTGAGGAGTGACTGCTAGTAAGCCTCTCTACTTGCTCCAACATTTTGTCCTCAGAGAGCTTGCTCTATGCACAGCTGTGCCTTGGTTACCTGAAGGGAGCTCTGAGAATTTTACTCTCTTCCCACCATGAACAACAGGAAGATATTTCAGAGAAGTTGTGCAGTTTCCTGCAGCTGCTGTTTATCTGTTTAATTGCCTTTCTTGTCTCATGTAGTTTCCCAGACTTTTTCTTGGCCATACTGATGACCTTCTCTCTTCAATTCTGTTTCTAGATACTTTGTATATGTTATTTTACTTGCAATTTATTTCTTCAGGCCTCTGCCAAGTTTTTGGGGATTATGTAATACAATTTCTCTCTTTTACTCTCAGCCCTTCTGCGTGTGGAAAGATGGATGTTCACATAAGTCAGATGCTGCTCCTCATGAAGTCAGGGGGAAGCTGAGCTCGTGAATACTGTGGGGCCCACTTGGTAGAGGCATAAACCAGACACAGCAGCATGGGCCTACTAGGCTCTGTGTCTTGACAGAACAGCCCTGTCAGCAGCACTCACCTGAAACAGGAATCATTTGTTAAAGCCCAGCTCAGACCTGAAGCACTGCCCTTTCTAATGAGAGGCCTCTGCTACCCTGTACTGACTATTCTACATCTAGAGCACTGCTGCTCTACTGAGAAAAGGTTATGTGGCATTATTAACTCCCCTTTTGACCTACTCTGCTCTCAGCATCATCTCTTTCCCACTCTGCTCTGCTCCTCTGTATCCATCAGCCTTCAGCCTCCTGCCCTTTTTCACTCAGCTGCACCCTGGCACTTGCTTTAGCACTGGATCCTGATACTAATTTTTTTGAGGAGTAAATGATGCTCAGCACAGCTTGGATCTCTGTAAATCTCTGTAATGAACAGAGATTTCATCTGTTTGCTCATAGTTTACTGTATTAATATTAAGGTATGTAGTATAGCAAAATGTTTTGTTAAAGGGCTGCGACTGAGCAGTAGGGAAAAAGGTGGGGCTCTTTCTTCATCATGGGTGCTCTTGACAGACAAAACCTTTTAGGAAGAGAGATCACTGCTGCTGCTCAGAAAGCAGAGGGTACCTCAAACTGCCAGGAGCTTGTGGAGACAGGGTGAGGCAAGTGAGCAGGAAAGACAAGGGGGATACACCCTGGGAGGTGTCCAAGAGGAGCAGGAGGTGCCTGTACTGCCAAACTGCTGGACAACAGATCTTCCCAGGGCCAGAGGAGTTAGGGGGAAACACTGCAGTGCAGCAGCAACTCAGAGATGCTCAGCAATAAAACCAAGTGCAGAGGCAAGGAATCACTTTAGACAAGAAAGACTTGCTACCAAAGCATTTATTTTAATCTGAATCTGCCAGTGAGTGAACCTGTTAGAATTAACCAGACTTAAGTAATTTGGTGTTTCACATTCCAACTGCAGCCTAACTGCCCTCTGCAGGTAGCCTGCCTTAAAACTTACCCTGAAACCTTCTTTATGGAGGCTGTGTCCTAAACCGGAATGAGATGTGATAAATAAATTGTAATTCACAGGACTGACTAGGTGACAATTATTCTTCTGCCTTTACCACATAGGACTAGTAAGCTGCAGTTCTTTCTTACTGGAGCAGTTGCTGGCATGTGGACCCTGAAAATACCCTTTGTATTTGTATGGCTTTCAGCAGTTAGGTATGTGATACACAGAGTAGATGCAGAGGCTGGGACAGATCCAGCTCCTTAACAATTGACAAGAAGGGCTAATATTTCTCATATTGAAACCAAGTCCTCCTACAGATGCATAACACTGGTCCCAGGGCTATTTACAGCACCTTCAACACCTGCAACTATTCTGTAGGTGGAGTCAAACATGAGGCTCTATGCAGATTCTGCACCCAAGTATCAAACCACTTTAGAGAACTGTATTTGGAATAAGTCTGCCTGAAATTAACAGAAAACCAAACACTTCTATCATTTTACCTGAAGATGGGGAAATTCCTACTACAGTAAATACTAAAGTGATTTAATAATGAAAATATTTAGTATGTACATTCATTAAGTATTAACAACACTGACCTCATCCATCATCCTATTGGTGTTATTGCCTGAAGGCTGCTATCTGCTGTTCATTAGGTTTCACATTCCTACACCACTATCAGCACATTCAATTTTAGTGGTTCACACCTGCTCCTCTCAGAAAGTTATTGAATGGGGGTGACTGGTAGGACAATGAGCTAGATCTGAGCCCTGAATTTACTGGGGTGGCACTGTGAAGATTAAAATGTTTTATTTCACAGAGCCATTCTGCGGGATAGTCATGCTAACACTTGAACCAATGCTGCTGGGGGGAAGCGATCTCTCAAGTGTGAAGATAAAAGGAAACAGGGAAGAGGGATTGGGATCACCTGAAACTGAGGTTGGAAGAATAATGCATAGTTGTGGTTGCATTCTACTTACAGCAAAATCAAAACTGTTTTGTTATACAACTAAAATTTGTACCTTAAGGAAAGCTGTTGTTTTACAGCATAAATTGCAGTGATCTTTAAAAGCCAACTTTTTATCCCATTGTTGAGGTGTTACTTGCACAGATAATTCCATTAATTGCAAATTTAAGGTGAAGTTAGTGGCAGGAATAACTACTTCCCACCACAGCTATTCTGAAATAGCCTCTGCATTCCAGGCTATGCCAGAACCAGATGCATGACCATTCTCAAGACAAACGCATTACACTGGTTAAAGAAACTAGTGTCAGGGATATGGGAATGTACTACATTAATGCTCTGACCCTATAATAAGGGGACAAAGTGAAATTGTTTAAGTCACCATGTCAACTGTAGCTTCCAGTTGAGGACCGTAACATAAAATGCTTACCCTGGTCAGACTTGCTGAAAATCAAACTCTACTGGTTTAATTTTCTTATATAACTTCCAGAAACAAGCCTTTTGGTGTCCTCTAGAAGTTGAGCTCATAGCTGGTTGTAGTTTCAACGATTTTCTTGATATCTTCTTCAACACAGTCTCTTTCCCTTTAGGCAGGCTTCTGTGTTATCTTTAACATCACAATACCCGCTCACGTTGCATTCTCCTTCATCAAACACTGAATAATCCCTTTTGGGGCACACTTTCTAATTAAATCATTCCTTTGCTCAGCAGCTCTGCTGAAAGCTTGACCCTGTAACCATCATTTGTCAAAACTGCCAAAGAGGCTCAACTGAGGCAGGTTGGGGAACTGGGACCTGTCCTTGGTAGCTGTACCTGCTTCTCTAGAACACATACTGTTCTTCCCCCCACAACCCCACGCCCCCCCCCCCCCCCCAAAAAAAAAAAAAAAAAGAAAAAAAAAGGCTTTGGCCTTTGGACTTTTAAATATAAGAGTAAGTGACACAAGAATGGCTGCTGTAAAACTTTTCTATGCTTAGAGTAATACTACTTCAACTAGGTATTTATTGGTATAGATAGTGTTGTACCTCCACCTGTCCTACCCCTCAACACAGTTCATCTCCATGAGGGCATCATACTAATATAATAGCATGTACCTTCATGCATATTAGCACAACCATTTTTGTCAGGGAACAAAAAAAAATTAGCTAAAAAGATATGTTCACTTAGCACTGCCTTTGCTGGACTGTATGGGCTTCATTTACACACACAAAAAAAAATCAATTGACAAGTCTAAAGAAGTAACCTTATTGACCCTACAAATGCCTCAAATGGGCAGCCCCAAACCTGCCTGGTGGCCTAAGCCAACACTCCTCCCGCTCATGGAATGAGAGGTCAACAGTAAAATCTCATAGTGCTGTCATTTGAAGCTAGTGCTTTGATTAGCAGCAACAATGTAACTCTGAGAAGAATTTACTCCCTGTAAAGTAAGTTTAAAGACTCGCTGCTTGCTTTGAAGAACATACCAGAGAAACCAGCTTCTGACAATATGGCCACTTGGATCACAGTTTTTATGTATCTATCTCAGTGCTTGGTCCAGGCAAAGGCTCAGGACATGGGCTTTTACAGGTAGAACAGAGAGGTCAAAATTAAATTCTATCACATCAAAGTGACCTCTGATCTACTGCCTCTGTTGAGGACTGCCAGTCACAGGAGCGCTAAGTCTGCCTTTGCTAAATTAGGCACAAAGGAAACATGCGAGGCCTACAAGAGCATCATCTTCATATTCAGGAAACCTAGATGTTTAAACAAAGAGTTTAGATCTATCCTCCCTAAGCCTTCTGAGGGCTTCCTAACCAAATTATTCTTGCTAATAGACATTTTTCCTTTCCCTTAGCTTTCCCATTTGACTTCACAATCAGATCCAAAATCAGAGCCATTATCCAAAGTGCGACCGTACCACTATTTTCTGTCATCATCTTATTGTATGGCATTCCTCTAAACAGGAAGTTTCTTAAATCCCAACTTCCTCCCCCTCTCCTCCTTCCCTCCCTCCTACCAATTTATAGGTCAAGAGCAATGGTTCAACCTGCAAATACATCCTCTTCTACCTCCCAGATAGTGTTAATTCTTTTGTTCTTACATGTAGAAGCAGGCCTAGCTTAACAGCCCAGACAAGTCCCTGGGCACATTTTATAAAGGTGAAAATAGGCTGAATTGTTAAATCCAGTCTTATGGATAATTTGATCACTTACGGGGATTGTCCATTCATGTAAGACACTGACAGAGTAGGTGGAAATGGAGGAATACTCTAATATGAGCACAGTACAAACATTTGTAACTTTTTTATCAGAACATTGTTATTAAAGTTATCTGAAGGGATCCCCATAAGAGTTTTCAGCTTCTTCTGCAGAAAAGCCTCCAAAGAAGAGGTTTTGGACCTTATCTAAGGTTTGGACTAGAAGTTTTTTCCTTTTTTGGATAGTTTGCAGGGGGTGTTATTTTTTTGCATGTTTGGCCTTCCCTGATCCAGAGTTTCAGCCATTTTGAGATCTAGAAATGCGTATTGATTATGAACCCTTTCTTGCCTTCACATGCACCATATGCCATAATCTCTGTTATTAGGGACAATTATTGAGAGACCAAGAGAAGACCATTTTTCTTTATTTCCTTAAAAGTTGGATAAGGAGGCATTTCTGAGAAAGCATTTTCTTTTTCCAAAGAAGAAAGAGGAAAAATTTTCAGCTACAGTGGCTCAATACCAATACTAGCTTTGATAAAACTTACCCATATTCACAAGACTGCTTATGAAAAAAACAAAAAAACAAAACACCAAAAAGAACCAAAGAAACTGACGAAAGCATTTATTTCTGAAGGTCAGCAAGTATCAAAGCAGTCCCTAAGGGCTGTCTTTGACTTTCCACAATCTGCAGTGAGAACTCCTGCTTCTGCAGTTTCCATTAAGCAGTCTTGTTTGGCTCTCTAATCATCTGGACTTCTTCCAGAAATCAAAGCCAAATTTGGGATTCTCCTTTTTTGCAGGAGAAAGTTTTTCCAGCACACCAAACAAGTTTTTGAACACACAATGAACTGAATATATAAACAGATCTCAGAACTTACCAGCATCCATGAGAAAACCAGACAACTGCACCACTGTTACCAACATCATGATCATCCTTTCTTCTGCCCTTTACTAGAGCATACCATTCAGTGCTTCCCTGCTGCTGGCACAAATCACCTTCTTAGAAGAGGTAACACTATGGGACTAGGCACAGGCACACTATGACTCCCCTTTTTCCTTTCTTGGTACTCTGGGCTGATGTTCTTTTGTCCTATGCACTAGAATGCATTAGGCCCATTTCCCTTTAGAAATTAACATATTACTGTGTATGTATTGATGCTTTTGCTGCCAGGTTTTTTGATCTTCTTTACTGAAAGCTGAAGCAAGCTAGCAGTAATCCTGGGTACTCAGGTGAAGTCTCTTGTGCAGCTGCCTCTTCTGGTTAGCATTCCTTACCAGTCAAATAACCTTCAGTCTTCCCTGTAACACCAACTTCAGAGCTACCTCCTCATCTGCTCACACATTCACACTACTCCTTAAGAGATGGCTAGAATTCTAACAGCAATCATCTGAGCTCCTGCCCCTTTCCCAAGTTTAGCAATGCCCTAATGGGAAGGACAGGGTTTCCCTCCTTCTCCTTTCATTCAGTGTTCAGTCTTTTCTGCTAGAAAGCAGCCTGCCAAGGGGGAAGCAACCTCTTCCTTGGGCCTTTACCAATACAGTTAAAAAAAAAAAAAACACAACTTTTGCTGTCTTGCTCTTTTCTGAGATCAGTGTCCTTTGTCAACCTCCCCATACCATACTCATTCTTTCTACACAGAAAACTCTATTCCCTCCTTCCTCTTTTTCCATGAGCCCTTTTCCTCTGCAGCACTGCAGAACTCGTGTTTTTTCTCTATTGAATGGTTTCTGCTTTCCTACTGATACTGGAGCCATCACAGTCTTTTCTTTCTAGTCCTTAGACTACAGGAAGGAATTATGAAAGCCCTGCAAACTTCCTACACTGAACTCCTACGCCACCTTCCTTATTTCTTCCAAGATCAGCGTCATGGCAACTAGTACTTCTCATCTTCCCTTGGCAAGCTGATGAATTGGTTTGGAGGCACTCCATTACCAAGGCTCTTTTTTGCATTCCTGTAAAATAAGTTCTGTTGCTCTGAAGAGCCCAAAAGGTTTCAGCAAGTGCTGAATAAACTAAGTAGTTCATGTATAAATAATATATCAGCTACCACTACATTTTTAATGGCTGCATCACAAACATATTTTTAGATGGCCTAGGTTAGTCAGAATGACTGACATCTGCTTTCCATTCGCATAAAAGTGATTCCAGTTTCACAATTCTGTGTCCATCTGAAACACGTACTTGGACATGGCCTTTTCAGCACTGATTCCAGTACAGCTTTGCTGCTACATGGGAGTCCACCCCACGCCACAGGCAGCTTGCTGACCATGGAGGGATGACTTCAGAGAGAAGGGTCTATTCAGCATTCTTACATACTTCCTCCAGGGCTTATCCACTCACCTCTTCTTAAAAAGAAGATGGATTAGAGGTGTCTGTATAAATTAGATTACATGCTGATGATAGCTTCTACCTGTCCCTATGCCCATGAAACCTGGGAAACAACAGAGGCACTAGAGAGGCTAAAAGTTAGTCACTGGGAAGTCAGGAATGAAAGCCACCTGCTCAGGGAGGTGTCTCCTGCCTTGCAGGGGCATCTGGTAGTTGTTGTCTGTGAGGCTTTGGGGCGTTCTGCCTTGCAGGGGACACGGTCACATGGGCTACATCTCTAGAAATACAGCGATCAGAAGGTGGAGAGCACCAGGCCGTTTCATAATCAGCAAGCGACCAAACCATTCCCTCTGCTCTCCCCCGAAGGCTTTCACTCGCACAGGTGCTGGCCAGCCTGCGCAAAGCCATCAGCTCTCACTTCCCCACTTACTCCTCTTTCCGGTGCAGCTCCTCCTCGGACTCGGTGAGGCGCTGCTTCAAGGCTGCGATCATCTCCACTGCCACGTCCACCTGCCTGCTCAGGGCTCGCTCCCGCCGCTGCACCTCCTGCTTCTTCTGGGACAGCTGCACAAAAGCTGCCCGCACCTCCAGCAGCTCCGCCGTCTTCTGCGCCAGCTCTTTGGTAAGCTTGTCGATTCGCTTCTCAATTGTTTTGTCCACGGCCTCTACCATCCTGTTAAACTTTTCTCTGACATGTGCCTCGAAGGAGGCTTTGGAGTCAGTACCCGGGAGAGCCGGTTTAGAAATCTGCTCGCTGGGTGAGTCGGGAGACACATAGCTTGCAACGTAGGATACGGGCCGTTCAGCTTCCACCTCCAGAGGCTGCCCGCGCTTCGTGCTCTCGCAGGACGCATCGCCTAGAAAACTCAGGTAGGGCGCTTTTTGCTGTATGGCGCTGCCGGGGCTCCCCAGGCTGCCCTGGGGCGCAGGGTCCGGCGGGGAGATCAGCTCCGCGTCTTTCAGGGGTAAAAAGAGGCTGCTCTTGGCCAGGGGGCTTCTCTCCTCGTAGCTGTGGCTGTACTCCAGGTGCACCCGCAGAGAGGAGAGGCTCCTGAACCTGGTGTGGTCGCCGCATCGCGGGCAGCGGAAGGGGAGGCTGACGCTGCCAAGCGGCTCCTGCCAGGGGTGCCTGCCTTCATCCCGGGTCGTCTGTTGCATTCCTCGCCGGGCCCTGGGCGGGAGAAGCAGCCCGCGTCCACGCCCCCCCCCCCGGGGTCGCGGCTGCCCGGCAGGCCCGCGGGAAACTTGGGAAACTTTCCCGGTGATTTTCAGCGGGATCGCGCCATCGCCGCCGGGGGAGGCGCCCGCCCGGGGACGCACGGCCAGCCGCAAGGCCCCGGTGACGCGACGCGGCTTCGCTCGCTTCAGCCGCCGCCCGGGCCTTGCCGCGGCGGAGCAGGACCGGCAGTGGGCCCTGGCTCTGCGCGGGCCTCAGACGGCCTCCAGATCGTCGCCCCGCTCCGCGGCACTCACGAGACTTGTTGCCGTGGCGGCGCGGCGGCGGGGAGCCGTTTTCAGCAGAGCCGTAAATCAGGCCGAGCCGCCGACACACGCTGCCGCCGCCGCGGGGCGGGGCGGGGCCGGGGCGGGCCGGGCCGGGGGGCGGGGCGGGGCGGCTGACAGCGGGAGGAAGGGGCTGGTGAGGCCGCGGGGCCGGGAGGGGAGCAGCGGGTCAGGGATCTGTGGGGCCAAGTGGGGCTGCGAGCAGGGCTGTTCCCTTCCCGGGGAGCCGGCTTGACGTGGTCACCTGGTCTTGGGGTCTGTGGGGCTTTGAGGGCGTCCTGTTGGCCATGGAAAAGCAGTGAGCTGTGGAGGGGTATGTTGGGGAGATGCAGAAGGATAAGACAATTGAAAGTGCTTACACAGCAAGACAAGGCTGACATGAAAATAGGTATAACCTGGCCTTGGCTTTCTGGCAGTAGAATTGTGTATGGTTCTTTAAAACTATATTTAGTAGCCAGGAAGACTTTATTTTTTTATTTATTTCATATGACCCTAATTTAGCTTCAGGATTTAGGGAAGGGGAGTCAGTAGTAACAAGATTTGCATTTTGAGTATGGGGAACAGATGTCATAGAATCATAGTTTGGGTTGGAAAGAACCTTCAAAAGTCTTCTAGTCCACACCCCCTGCAGTGAGCAGGGACACCTTCAACTAGATCAGGTTCCTCAGAGCCCTGTCCAGCCTGACCTTGAATGTCTCCAGGGATGGGGAACCTACCACCTCTCTGGGCAGCCTGCTCCAATGTTTCACCACCCTCATTGTAAAAAATTTCTTCCTTATATCCACCTTAGATCTACATAAATGTAACTGACATTAGAGCTTGCTGCCAATGGGTCTTCTCAATAGGGGAATATGCTTTTAAATTTTCGTTTTATTCCACAGATGTGTGCCTATTTTTGCAAGCTTTCAGAAATGCAAGCAAGTCTGATTGCAGAGTAGCAGCTTTTTTGATGTTCTAGTGAAATACTGCTCTTCTGAAAACCAGTGCTGGAGGCCATAGTGGTAATACACTGCATATTTTTTTATTACTATGGGAGAAAGCACTGTGGTAAAGCTTAATTCTGTACTAATATATCTGTGCCTTGAATGCAATATACAGGCAGAGCCCTGAACGCTGACAAAATCCATGTGCACTGATGGATGCCTTTGATGTGATTAAGACATTCCCAGTAAATGATTCACCAGATGGCATATCAAAAGAAGTTACTCAAATTGCAGTTCAGAGCTTCAGCTAATCTCTGAAGCGTGTGGGCTACCATCCAGGATGCAACTGTTTTGCATGAGTTAGTTGTCCTGTATTACCTTGTCTAAATGTGGTGATTTTACCTTATTCTGTTATCAAGCAATACCAAAAATCCAGAAGGGAGGTCAGGAGGGAACAGTTTTGACCCCTGCTTGCCCCCAAATCTGGGGCCTTTGAAGGAGGCCAACATTGGCAGGACTGGATATATGGATATGACTTTTTTTGGTCCCTATTTTCTTGGCTGTTGTCCTATTTTCCATTATCTCTTTTGTGCCTGCTGCCTTTCTGCCTTCCCCTCCACATTAAGGGAAGGTACTCGGTGCTGATGATCAAAGGTGCAGATAAATGCTATACAAGCGAGTTGAACTTAAGTCTGGTGGAATGCTACCTGAGGCTCCATCCACATTTAGCGGAGGTGACACCCACCACCTCTTCCAGCTGATGGTAACAAGATCCCTCATTGTCTTGGGAACAGAATATGTTGATGGCTTTGAAAGGAGCCCATTGATCTGCAGCCTGAGCTTGTGGTTTTGGTCAGTTAGATTTGAAATGCAGCAATCATCTAGCCCCAGCAATTCTTCTTTCAAGGTTTCTCAAGGTTTATTTGCACTCTGTTTTGCTGTATTGGGATCCAACTCCTTACCTCTTCAGTTATCTACTACCGATGCTTCCATTTTGATGTTCATTTGTTCTCCCAGCATTCAGAAACATTTTCCCTTTGATGTATCAGTAAGTGTGCATTTACAGTGGAGGATGTATATCAACCATTACATGTCTGAGCTTTATCCCCCGTGATTTAAATCTGGAGTGGGTAGAATCTAACACTATCACTTACACAAAGCCCAAATTTACAGAGCCATAATGTATGACTCAATTCTGAAATTCTGCCAAGTGCTGGGGAGACATTATCCAGTTTATTTGCATGCATCTCTCTCTTTCAAGTTCGCTTTAAACACTTTGCAGTGAGATTTCCAGAAGGATAAAAGTTACTTAAATGAAACCAGCATGTACTAACCTGCCTGGTGCTGCAAGCAAGGTGGAATATTTAGAATATTCAGCTCTTTTTCAGGTAGTGATCTGTATCTGCCGTACTTGGTCTCCTACTTGCAGATTTTGGGTGGCCTCTTCCTATTTTGAAGGTTATTACAAGCTTAAAAATCATGCTTCAAAAGTGAGGTAAATTTTGTTTGGCTGATAATTCCACTTAACGTGGCTAGAAAAGGGAGGTTTATAAAATCAGTTTGCTTTTCAAGAATTACCGTAGCTGTTTATCTTCCGATAGTTTTTTCTCATCCTAGACAAGGAAAATAGGTGAGTCAGTTTTGTTTTTACTTGCAGCCGGTTTCCCCTTCAGGCTCACAGTGCTGACATGTTTGTGGGGGCCTTTTTCATGTGGCATATAACTGGATTCACTCTGATCACTTTGGCTGCATTTGGCAGCCTCTCTTTTCCCTTGTTTGTTTACTGGCTTGCTTTGAAAAGGGATGTCAGAAATTTTTGCTTCTCCCATTCACACCAATGCTCCCCACCCAGGTTTTCAGTGTGTGCTCTACCCAGTTTATAGGAGGTATGAATCTGCACAGGTTCTGTTGGTGAAATTATGTACAGGTATATAAAGACAGATGCACACAACTGCACATCTGCTACCACTGCATGCAGATGGGGTTCTGAGTTTGGCTCTGGCAAGTAGCACAGTCTCCCCATTCCACTGTAAAAGCTGTGCCCATAATAAGTATGCCTATTCAGCTCAGTTAATTTGTATGCTGGGAAGTGCCATGATTTTCTTAGCATTTGAGCATGAACCACAAATGCACATGATAGTTTGAGTTGCTGAAACTTACCTGCTTTTAATATTTATCATCTGCTCTCTGTTTATGGAGAGGATGTAACAAGCAAGCAATGAGTAGTAAAATCTAAGGAAAGGCCTTAGAAACTTGAAAGAAGTATTTTAGTGACTCTTACAGTAATGGTGCCTTAGACTGGGATTCATATTAGCTTTGTGTGCAGATACATTCAGGATACATCAAATGTACAACGAAGTTTATTTTATTGCCACAGGCACTAAGACCCACCCAGTAAGAAAGAGCCTTTCTGTGGTGCGTTTCTAGCATACTGATTGACTAGCACTCTGCTTGTTAAGAGAGTGTAGGGGAAGGAGGAGAACAGGAATGTACAGATTGGGTTTGTATGACTGGTGCTGGTTAGTTGTTGACTGGTGCTGGTTAAGTTGTTGCCTTCTCTTTCTGGGGTGGAGGGGGGTGCTTCAGTCTTATAACTGGAAGTCAATTCTGAAATAAAAAACAAAGTCAAGTCTTTGCTTTCAAATGAGTTTTGTTGTCACAGCAACAAGAGAGGCAGCATGCTGTGAGTGGTTTTGGTCCTGCAGCAGCTTATCCTGCCTAGTTTGCAATTGGCTTGCTGCCTTTCTGTGGACTCTCCAAACTCATTAGTGTTCCCACAGGTAACCCCTGGTAGGAGCTGACTCCAGAAAACTGTTTAGCTTTCCTCTTCTCTACCCTTACTTTTGCATGCTCTTCTGAGTAAAAAAAAGAAAAAAGTGTTCTCTTCTGGGTTGATTTTCACCATTTAGCCCATACCTGGTGAGAGCTGTCAGGTGTGAGATGGCTGCAGGCATATTTTCCAAAAGACAGGAGAAGAGTAGCTGAGGAGGAGTGTCAGCAGTGGGTCTGGCCTGCACTTCAACCATATTGTTTTTTCCTCAAGAAAGAGTTACTTCAGTTAGGAGGATAACCAAAACGTAACTAACACCCCTCCAAAGAGGAGATACTGGGGGGACTTCCAACTGCCTTCCAACTGAGTTGCTCTTTACTGTGCTTATTTTGGAGGGGAAGAGGAACATACGAAGTTTCCAAAGCCTTTTCCTCAGAGGATGAGAGTCTAAGCTCCAAGTTGTAATGTGCACAAGAATAACCTGGAGCCTTTTAACAAAGCCGTCTTGCTCCTGCTCTTCACACTGGTAACCTTTTGAAATCTTCCACAGTGTAGCAGCACCTCTGGCAACAGCACGGGGACCTGAAGGTCTCGTTCTCAGGGACAAGTGACAGCAGCTGCACAGCGTCAGGGCATCACTGGTGGTGCCAGTAAGGGACAAACCTAGCACAGCCTTCCAACATGGCTGCAACAAACCGAGCTGGCTTAAGCCAGTTCTGTGCAGCATGTGACTTCCTGTTCAGATTTATGCACTGAAAGAAGACAGAACAGAGCAGAGTTGTACAGCAATTGCTCTTCCTAAACCTCTTCCAAATGAAACTCAACCTGCAGCAGAGAGTGGGTCTCTTTTTTTTTTTTTTTTTGGAAGAAGCTGTCCCACTCAAAAAAGACTAAAAAGACAGCAAAAAACATCAGAATGTCTTTAGAGAAAGTTTCTCCCTCCAGTACAGCCTTTCCCTCAGTGGGACTTATTAAAATATAGGCACTTTCTCCAAAGGAAAGGAAAGTACAAAGCACACCATGAAAGCAGAATTTCAAGCTATTTCATTATGCCACCTTTCTTTCTGCAATGGACATCGGATGGTAAGGAACATTGCCTTTAAAAGTTCAAACTTCATGCCTTCCAGGAATTATGTGTGAAAAAAATCACACTGATTTCCCAACTGAAAAAAGTG